TAAAATATCTCTGGTGTTGCCATTGATATGTGAAAATGTGTTTCCAGTAAAAAGGAACATATATAAAATATTAGTTCACAATAGGTCACATTGACAAAAAATAATGGAAAAAGTTTTCAGTTTGTAATTAGTTTTTCTGTATTCAGATGCTAATTTCACAGGCTTGTGTTGCATAAATGCCACTCTTGCATTAACCTTTTCTTCAAAGCCTACCTTATAAGTGACTTGCTTATCTGCCACAAATTGTTTTCAACCTCCTCTCCTCCGGTCTTATCGACCACTGACATGTTTCATAAAGGCTGCACTCCTGTGAGAGATATCCTGGGGCGTCTTAGAAACAATCTGTGATTACATGGCTTCTTCCATACCACGGCCTTTCTCTTTCTGTTCACAATTTGATAGGCTGAGGTGATGGAAACATTAGCCTGCACGGTCTTATTTTCCCCCTCTTCAGTCAGGGTTTTTAATGCCTCACTTGGGGTTTGTGTGCTCCATCGTGGTTGGTAGCGTTTGTCTTAGAACTGTTTTGCAGTAGCCACTTTTTTGACAATAATGCAAGGTTATTGTTTTAACCATAAGCTTATTGTACAGGAACCCAACTTTCACTGCACAGAGAAGCTCTGGTCTCTTGTTGTTCTGTCTCACACATTTTTCTTACTATTTTGCTGCTGTGTTATGTTTTAAACTGAAAGCTTTTGTCCTCCTATTCAGCATACAGAATAATGGCTTTTTTTTGCTTCACGAAAGAAAACTATACACTCAGGTTTAAAGTAGCTGCACTTCAGAAGAAAGTGTCCATAAAGATGTTTGAATCAAAGTACACTTATTTAAAGTTGCTTTATAGACATTTTTGATTTTTGGAAGTTAATAAATGTTTGAGTCTTCTAAACACCAAGTATATATCTAAAATGTTAAAATACTTATACTTGTGTTTTGAGTCCCTGATGGAGTCTGATCCAACTTGAGCAGAACAAATTGATGTATAACACATTACATGCAGCAGAAATGTGGGTAAATAGACCCTCTGCAACCCTGCCAAACTAAATAAATAAACAAATAAATTCTAGATGTTTTTTGTAATTTTATTTTCTCAGTCATAGATTAAAGCTGGTATGCTCCAAAGTCCCAAATGATTGTCAGACTCAAGGGGAAGCAAATACAGGGTGTCAGACAAAGGGTCAAACTTAATTCCATGAGGTCCCCCAATCAGCAGGTAAATAGTACCTGACATCAGTGTGCTTATTGGTTTGGAACAGAACACCAGCGATTGTTCCAAAGCCTTGATCTCCTTGACCTCCCTGTGATTGGCTGCTGTACAGGTTATAATGGTGGTAAATCTAACTAATGTATTTTAACCTCCTGCTCTATCTATCGGTCTTGTAATATGAATCAGTATTTTTTAAAACCTTTTTGTCATTGTTAACTTTTTATGAGGCCATAAAGTAATTATTTTATCTATGTCCACATATTTGAGTAACTGATCAGTAATTTGGCAGTAAAATGTATACTTTAGCTCAAATATCTCCGAGCACTGCATCAGAAGTTTGATCTAACCTAACTTCAATTCAATTAATGATAATTGCTTAGTTGATATAGCCAAAAGTGATAGAATTAGTAGTAGCTAGCAGTTTAACATTGGGTTAGCTAACTGTGTCACTGATGCCCTTTTCCTGATTGTATCTGCGTTATCTAATAACAATACTGTTTCACAAATAATAAAAAAGTACAAAATTTCCAATGTTTAGTTAGAATGTAGTTTTATACCATAATACAATGGGAAGTAAAGGCTAAAAGATGAAGTCGTAGTGTAATTTCTGAACTGCTGTTCTGCTAGTAAGCCAAGCTATCTGGTATTGAGCATACTTAGCATGCATAATGATTATAATTTTCTTCAATATTTACAATATCCACCAACATTTTCTCCTAATATGATTTTTCTAATTTTTGTCTTCAGACTTTTTGCCTTGCTGTTATCACAGATATGTTAGAAGTGGCTGGCAAGGTGGTGACATTTAAACCATGAGGGATGTGAATTTATGGGAAATGGTATTTAGATAAAGGCCATTTAAAAACATTCAGAGCGAGCAACATAGCATCATTTTTTTTTTTTAAAAGGACAGATCCCAGAAGTTCCAGTTTCTACCTGATCTTTTAAAATGCCCAGTGTGTGTTTCTGAAATAATTAAGTTCTTAAATACTAGTGTTATTAGAATATATTATACATTATTTTCTGAGAAAATTGCTCATATGTCTAAAATACTGTCAGAACAGAAACATAATTATCCTCCCAATCAATACAATTAACTTCCATAATGTTCACCCCTGCTATTAAGATGTAAATTAAGCTTTTAACTGTGCACCGATTGTGCTCACAGTAATAAACAATAATATTTGAACTCTATTAGTGGTGTGTTTTCAGTAATATCAAAAGCAGCTATGCTTTCAATAGGCTGTAGGTAAAAAGAGTGGGCTGAAGGTTGACTGGAACATTTCACTCTTGCATTGTCAATATTGAAAGAGTTGTACTTGTTGTTGTCTTATTCAGTCAAAGCAGTCAGGGACAGCGATAAACCCATAACCAGGCTGGCTCTTTGTGACTGTACCATATCATTTGAAGTTCAGTAGTGGAGTAAGAACAAAGCCTGCCTGAAGGGCCAGAGTGCAGGACAGAGGATGAGATGATGACGACGAATGGTTGTGTCATTTGTTTTTACACCTTTTTTACAGGGGTTCAATAGCTCATCCTAAAGTAATGATTATGTGCTGCTGCAAGACTTGGTGAAGTCAAGCGTAAATGCTTTTTCTCAACAAGGGATTCTTGTTGAGTGCTTCTTGCAGCGATTTCTGGTCTCAGCAACTGCATTAAATACAACAATTTCAAGGCTTAATTAGCTTAGATTGTGTTGATGAAGGCTCCTGGGATATCAAATAAATGAATATTGACAGACTGTTTTTGAGGGAAATGTCATATGCAGGCTTTCTCAGCTCTCCTCATATGGGCGCAGATCCTGTTTGACTACAGCTAGATTTAAAAGGGTTTATAATGGGAAAAAACAAGCTTAAAAATAAAGGCTACAGTTTGTCAACTGTGTTGTTCTCTGTACAATATAAATGGTGAAACATAGATTTGCACAATGAAAACTCATTCAACTGGTATAATATCTTCTCAAACCAAGACTAATTACATAGAGAACGGCTGAGTAAATCAACAAGCATGGAAATGAACTGTAGAGAAGGACTGATTCACTTTCAGAGCGAACGGTTGAATTCTGTACTCGAGGATAATGTTCATCATCACAGCGATATTCTTTGCCCATGCAAATTTTTTGGCATTCTGCTGATGGCAATATCATCATTTCCCTTCTTGTTCCTCTTTGTCAAAATGAACATAAAATGGTACAGCACTCCAAACATAATGGGGCTGGAAGGCAGAGGCAGGCAAATAAATAAGGTTCACAGAGCCGGGGCCATTTCATTGCTGCAGCTGCCCGCTGCTGAGGCTTTTATTCTGATGTCTCATCCTTTCAGCCACTTCAGCCCTGCTCAGTGTCTCTTTTTTACCCATTTGGATCTCTTAACTCTTCAGATCAGAGTGGCTCTCTCTGGCCAGTAAAGCTTTATTGGAATCACTGCCATCCCAGGATATTTGGATAGATTTGACCAAATCTAGTGGGCAGTTGGTTTAAAAATGGAACAAAACTGGTGCCTTAGCTTTTCCACAATTAGTGAAGCATAATGTCTTTCATTTCAGAAACCTTGAATAAGACAACAAACGGTGTCTTCATTTTGCATATATTATTTCTAGCCACTGGAAAAACTTGCTCAGCTGTTTCTGCAATGGATTTATCATGTTGTGCGTATGTTGCATGAGAGCAATTCACAACCACGTCTGATGGATGTTTGACTTGACAAGGTCATACACAAGACGTTGAGGATGAATCAGTCACTTGAGAACAAATACTCTCCTGAATGGTAGCACCATTACGCTTGAATCACTCCACACAAAGTGGACATTTTAATCATCTTTGAACTCTATGAATATGGGAATAGGAAATGAGAGTGGGAAAGGTTGAAGTTTAACTTTTTCGGAGTATTTAATGTATCCAGATACAGATAAAATTTTTACCAGGTGTAACTGGGGCCTGGGTGCCTCCACATGTATGTGTGATGACAATATGCATTACAAAAAGTAACCTCACTGGTGTCATGCTGAAGGAATTGTAAAGCCATTTCATTTAAGAGTGCAGTCTTTTGACAGATACATCGAAAAGCAAAACCAACACATTTAAAAGACCTTTGTTTATCTTTTATAAATGGTTATTTGTAATGACACTTGTGGGTGCGATCTAACCTGTAATTGTGTAAGAAATACCGCTCTCCTATCAACAATGTGTGTTAGTTGTGAGTGTTATTTGAGGTATAAACAGCTGGAGCGCACACAGCTAATAAAATGTTACAGCAGTCGCCCATTAGTGCCTCTGTGTTCCAAGGACCTTATCTACCACCACATTAAGCTCTTTCCAGCTACATAACATTGCACAGGTAATTACTGGGATATATACTCTGCTGTTAGCATTACCACTTAACCAAACTGAGAGAGGTTTGATGACTCAGATGTTTAGAGTTTACCTAGTGTACAGAATTTAGTGTTAAATTGTGCGGGGATGTCATATTGTTTGTGTTGGCAGTACAGTTGGCCTCTGATAGCTTCAATGAGATGAATTTGTGTGTGTGTGTGTGTGTGTGTGTGTGTGTGTGAAGCAGGCCACCACACGCTGAGTGACTTCAGAATGAAGCCATCAACCCCTCTGATTGATGTCGTTGGTGTGGTTGTAGCTCATACAGAAGCTATCTGTGCCTGATTCATGGCGGGTCTTGGACGAGGCAGTTTCTTCAATGGCTGCTAGTAATAGATCAATGGAGGTGCAGGGAGTTGAGGGGGTTAAAGATAATCTTATGAGACATTAAAATGTAGTAATCATTCACTGTCCACAAGGCGCTGCAATTATTGTCTGTGTTTATTATAGACAAAGAACAATACAAAATACAAAACAATCCATCAAACAGCAAGAGCAGAAAAAAGCTACTGTGAGACAGAATTGTGCACAAAGCGTCGCCTCTGATGGGATCACATTTTGTCATCTTTGTGCTCACATCACAAAAGCTTGCGTTCATGCTGTAAACTGTGCACTGTGCAGAACAGAAAACATATCCATTACAACTCCAAAAATGAAATGAGTTTCAACTGAGAACAAAGGGAGAAATTAATAAAAGTGCACAAATGAGAGATACTTTACGCTACAAACTACAGTCTTGCAACGTATTTTATTTTTTATATTTTCTCATCTATTCCACTTTGGAGCTCATAAGCTTCCACTGACTGGTTTGAAATGATAGAAAACACACTGATTGAACAATGGATCGAAACAAGCTATTCTTTTAAGTATGCACTCGATGGCACACATTTGAAAACACAATACTGAAATAATTTCACATAGCACTGCACAATCAATTTCAAGCAACTTTACAATGTAGACAAAAAAGCCTGCTGCTCAGTATGAAGCAAGTCCTTTTCATTTAGTTCCCTCAGTCTTCATTCCTTCTGAGTGCTCTTCAATTTATACATATACGTAGCTCAAAAAGACAGCGTTAAATTCTTCTTTTAATAGCAGGGTGAGCTATATACATACTGTGGATTGTGGATTGAAGTATGGCACTTTGTCACGATCTATTTACACATTCCATGGTTGCCCTGTGAGTTTTGCTGAGCAGATAAATCACAGAAAAGCGCTGCACTCTGCAGTCTCAGCCAATATCAGTGAATTACTGCAGCGACAGTTATCTGACCCTTTGACAAACAGCCTCTCTGTCTGCACATCAGGGTTACACATTTCTCCCTCATTACTATACACTGGTCACTGACCTTCACAGGCTCCTTAGAGTCCACAGTGGTTGTCTGCACAGTGACCAAAGCGATATAAGGCTCTGGTGTGTCTGCCACTGTTAAAATGAAATTCCCTGTAGAAATCATTATTTTTAAATTGACACAGCAGGTTTAAGTGTCTGTAATGTTTGTCCTTTTCTTTACTTTGAGCTTTTCAAAAGGTCATGTAATTCCATATCTGTGCTTTCTCTGTAGTGAGATTAAAATGTCACAGTGTTGTGCATTTGGATTCATTTGAATTACATGGTTTCTCATGGGGAAGACCTTTACTACAAATAAAGCGTGAGCACCACTGAGATAGTATCCTGTGGAAGCTGGAGCTGGACGAGAAATTTCCTTGATAAGAAATTCAGAAACTGTGATCCACCATAAATAAATTTGATTGCTTGACAATGTACTAATAACGCAATGTCAACACAGAAACAAAGCTATATCTAAGTGTTACTGAGGTTAGTAACTGTAAGCACTGAATTTCAAATTGTAGTCCTTTACGCAACTCAGTAATGAAAAAAACACTGGTTTATTTGGCTTTTGTCTTTTGGAAACAGTTAATGCAACCTTAAATGTTAGGATGCTGTGGATAAACCAAGAGGCAACCTCAGAGGCTGGCAGATGAAGCCAACACGGAAGTAACAAAAACTGCAGTTCCTCAAACAGGGCACTTGAGGCAGGCTACAGAAGTGAATCAATCTCCATAAGGCCCCAATTTTAAAATGCCCAACTTTAGAGCAGAAATACACGTTAACAGCCTGGTACAAAAAACGGTTTCGGTTTCTACAGCTAAATTCTCTGTTAATAACAACTGTATTGGGGGGGAATTTTTCTATAACTAATTTAAATTCTATCAAGGCTTCAAGTTAGGCATAATTAAGGGCATGACTGACAGGTGGGTGCCATCACAGGTGGCTGTGTTCAGCCACCAGGCTTCATTCAGCTCACCTCGGCTCCACCCATTCTCCATGTCTTTGCCCATTTTTGGATTAGCCAGGAGCCAGCAGTGTCAGGACTTTACACTGAGCTTCACAACAGTTCTTCAGAAACCTATGGGTGAAGTTAAGGAGACAATGTCCGTTTTTACTAACACAGTGTATGGGATGAAGGCAATGTCTGTGGTGTGGCGTTACTTTGGCTACTTAAAGCCCTATTTGGCCATAGAGTTGACAAGACAGTCTCAAACGGGGCTAGGCTGTAAGCATGAAAAAGATACTGTATGCGATGTATATTGTTAACGAAGCCAAAAACTAAGTTTCATTAAAGACGGGAAATACCAGGAACTACAGTAAGTTAAACCTAAATCATTACCATCTGATACTAGATGCAGAGTGCAAGCACTTTTACCAGTAATAAGATATAGGCTCCACAGCTGTAGTAAACATTTTCACACTTTAACATTACACACCGAAGGTTTTTAGTTTATTTTTGTATAATTTATTAATTTCAAAAGATATGTCTGCAGTTTACACAATTAACTCTCACTTTTGATGCTGTGCATTTGACCAGGGAATCTTTAGCTCAACAGAAATAGGAACTTCATTTTATATCTAGATGAATATCGATAAAATAATATGAAAAAATAAATGTTTTGACATATTACTCAGGCCTATGATATCCAATATGAAATATTGTAAGTTTAACATTGTCTGGTTCTGTTTGGAGTGGAGAGGGAGGAGGATGTGGATGGCAGCAGTTTGCTTCAACCAAACCAATCCTTTAACTATAGGATAAACTTGATGACATTAACTGCTCTCATACTCCTTTTCCTGTAATTGTTTAAGTCAAAGTTTATACAAAGGTATCTCTGCATTATATCACATCCTGAATTAATGTTTCCTGTTTCTTAGACAAATTGGAGCAGAGATTTTCTCTGCAGGATGGAATAATCACTGCTGTATTTATGTAACAGTAAACTATATTTTGCAAGATTCAACACTCCCTTCACTTATTTTGTACAAAATGCTAAAAGGCCTATGTAAGCTCATCTCGCAGAATCCTGTTTGGCGTTTGTCAAATCGTCTTGTGAAATAAGAGAAACTCTTCCAAGAGAAAACACTTTGGAGAAATAAAATTCTAAATGTCTAAAATGAGTACTTTTAATTAAAACCTCTCTAAAATGTCCCATGGCCGACTGAATCCATACTGCAGCTATCAGAATCCTGTTTAGGTGGAAAGTTAGATTTTAGTCAGGCTTTGACATCACTCCCAGACAAAGAAGGCTCTTCGAACGGCATCTTCTTGGCACTTGGCAGGATGCTTGTGGGTAAGTACTGATCCGTTGGCGTGTTTAACTCATCGTCCATTTCTGTAGTGAAGTGGTCTGGACTTTCCCCATTGGAAGTCTCCTTGATGACGCTGTAGGTTAGAGCCACACTGTAAGAAGCTGGTTTCTCCATACGCTGAGGACCGCAGTGACACAACTTCTTGAAAGCAGCGCGGAACTTCTGGGACATGGCGTTGTAGATGACCGGGTTGATGGCACTGTTTAGGTAGATGCACAGACGGCAGAAGAGCAGGAACCAGGTATCCAGGTAGGCCTTGTCCAGGAAGGAGTTGACCACCACTAAGGTCCGGTAGGGCATCCAAAGTAAGGCGAAGAGGATCACCACCACAGCCAGCATCTTTGTCACCTAATAAAATTCAGTTGTGTTAAAAAGTGCTACAACAAAATGAAATCACAGAAAACTGTCTAAACAGTATGAGCCACAGCACAGGCCCTTTTCACAAGAGACTATTTGAATTATTGTAGTAGAAAAAGCACAGGTGCAACTAATAACATTAAGAGTGTTTTTTGTCCCAGTAAACCATGACAGTGTGACAGCATGTACAATACCAAAACCCTGAAACTGAGGCAACCAAGTAATTCTGTTTTTTTTCTTTAAATCTGTGCTTTGCCTACGGTGACATGTCAAAACATCTACAATAGAAAAATGCCTATTCTTAAAGTTATAATCCTGAAGTTTTCCATGAAATTAAATTCTGCTTTTGATATTATCTATGGTCGACATTTTTTCAGTAATAGGCTTTTCAATGTATTTACATTGAGTAACTACCTCTGTATATAGCAGGTTTCATTGTTAGTGGCGGAGTCTGCCATTCTCATTTAAAATTCTCATTTTCTAACTACACATAAAGGATCCACCATTGTTTGCCACTGTTTGTAATTTCATCTCATTGATATTAACCTCTTTGCTGAACCACTCATGAACATTTTCTATTGCCTTTGCCTCACATTAAAAGCATTAAATTTGTGAAACAGAGGGTGAATTTTATTGTGAAGCAGTCACAGGAAATGCATATCTGTCTGGGAAAGCAGTCACAGGAAATGCATATCTGTCTGGGAAGGGGGCATGCAGTCGTCACTGAGGTTGGTGCTGACAACAGCTGTCCATTAAAAATGGCTCTAAAAAACAACTGAAAAGCCATAAAAAAAAAACATTTAATAAAACTGTAAACAAAGTTCTGCTGTTGTATTTCTCACAAAGTTGCTACTTAGCAAGTGAATTCTGAATTCTTGAAACCTAAACTGCACCAGTAATGATGGCCAGCTCAGCTAGGACTGAAATCTTAACGATTATTACTTTAGGGTCTGTGATAGATGCACAAGGGGCAATCATGCCCAACAGAAAAAAAAGTAATTTTCCCCTAGCCTCTCTTCACTGGGGCAGGGGAATCATTTATTTTTTTAACCAGATGACATACTGTATCTTGTCTGTGAACGCAGCTGCAGCTCCACCTGAAAACTTGGATTGAGTCAACTTGAGAATGTTTAATGAGATTAACATGGTGCAGCCTCACTCCTGCTCAATATTAATGGTGTGACTGGAATTTTGGTAGGGCTAAATACCAGAGTACCAAATTCATAAAAGGAGTATCCTCCTGCACTGAATATTCAGTTTGGTGTTCTACTTCAAAGCAAAACATTAAGTGTGTTTGTTTCCCCCAGAATTGCATAGGAAAAATGGCAGCACCACTAGTAATGAAAAAAAAGTAAATCCATGTCTCAAGTATTTTATACTCATTTTACACAGAAGCACCTGCTGACGCATTTTGACATGAATCCTACATCTGAACGTCAGTGAGCTCTCTTTTTAAAGGACACGTCTAACAATCAGCAGTCAGCAGGAGAGCAATTATAACTGTGTCCTTACAGTCGGATGCATTCAAGATCAACAGAGATCATATAGGCCCACCAAAACAAGAGAAATGCAAAACTACAAATGAAAAATTTATTAAAACGTTTTTTAAAAAAACACCTTCACAACATTTGGACAGTATATATCGTACATGCACCTCCCATCAGGAGGCTTTTTAAAGTAAGTAAAGCAGGCAAACTAGTTACCCTTAAATGAATATTAGTGTGCATTTTTGGATATAATGATAGGTGAGTTGGATGATTAAACAGCAGCTGCTACTTTAGGAGGATCTCTGGCAGGTGGAAATGCTGATGAGATGATGTCATGATCTTCCTTCTAGTTAAACAAGTAGTCTGTTACATTAACCAGTAGTTACAAAAACTGTTCCTCTGTTAAGACCTGCACAAACTAAAGTACATCAAACATAAACCTACACTACATGTACTGAAACCATAACAGTTCTATCGGCTCTGAAAAACCATTTGACTGCTTAGCAGTTAATGAAATCCTAATCCTGATGTATTGGTGGATTACTCTGAGCCTTGCAAAAAGTGTTTGCCATCATTCACTGTGTTGTACGCCAACAGTTGAGGTGATCAGTTTCTCATCAAATGCTATATACCCTAGACCTACACATTCGGCTCTGTTACCTTTAACTCTCTGTGATTGCACACTATTATAGATGATGATGGAGAGCAAAAGAAGACTGAAGTTTAACCAGGTGAGACTGTTGCACACACTTTTTTGCGGTTATCAACAGTATTTTGTTTGCTGAACAAAAGAGGAAAAGGAAAGGACTTAGCTGTTCCACTGAACCATTTGTTAAAGATCTTTACCAAAAAGCTTGAAAACACATAGTGTTAGACAGTGTTTCCGCATTCAAACGAGCCAACAAGCTTAGAACTGTTTGTTCATACTCGGCCCAAAAGAAGATCAACAGCAACACACATAATCTGCGTCCCAATAATATTTGTCCATTTGCCATGATAGCCATCCAAGAAAAAACTATAAATGGCAATCCAAACTTGCATTTCACATTGTAGCTCTTTGCCATATGTTTGTAATGACAGTAATTTTGCATTGCAGTTTTTGTTGGATGGTTTGTGATCCCACATTTCTGTTCATAATGAAAAAACGTATTGGATTTTTTTGTTTTGTTACTGCCACTGTGACAGTGTTAGGGGAAAACAAACATACCAGTGTTCATGTTCTGTGCAACTTAACAGTCTTTTAAAAGAGGAGCATTACAACTTTACAACTTGGAGATTAATACAAATACAGCATCACAGACTTTTATGAAACATAAACGAACCAAGATATTGCTTGAAAACACTTTGAGATGCAACTTTAAAGCCACCATATTGTAGACCTCATAAAACATTCATTGTTTATTCAGGTGCTGTTGATTAATTTCTAACTAGGGAGATTTATCAAATCTGTATGCAGAACTTAACAAACCCTGGATTTGTTAATATAATGGCCAGATGATAATCCTGATATGAAACTTGTATGTAATTAAATCTTATCCATATTTATGTTGTGTTGCCTCAGATGCAGTCAGGTGAGTCTAATTGGATTGGATCGGGGCACTGCCGGTGTCATCAGTGAGCGAAATACCTAATCCTAGATCCTCATTACTTCTTGACCTTTAGGTAATTCAATAAGGTACACAGTAGATGGTATGAATTGTTCCTTGTGTGCACAATGAGCGGTTAATGCTGACCACCAGAAACACATTGAGGGGTTGGAGCCCAAGGGGCATAACAGCCACGTTGGGCGAATAGGAGTATTATATATCAAATGAAAGCTATCAGTGAGATCTTTTCAGTGCCAAAAGGACGCCGCTGAAATGGTGACCCATAGGTTGTAAATAAAAGAAAACTGAAAGGCGTCACTGTTTTTAACAGAGAAATCAGTACCAGTTAATTTGTTCATTTTTTTCCTCTGTGAAAGTTGCTGAGCATTACTTCAAGATGAAGTTCTTATCTTTTTTCAGTGTTGATTGAAGTGGAATTGTGTGTACATTTTAATTCAAATGAACGTGCTTTACACTTGTTTACTGACTATAGTCTATTGGGAAACCGAAAAGGCGTATCTCATTCTTTTACCATTTTTTTAAATATTTGACAAATAATTTTAAACTTAAATCGCATAAATATTGATTTTATATTGATGCTCAATCTGATAACATAAAAAGATCAATTGTTATGTATAGTTCATGGCAACAGCAACTGATTCAAGTTTGATCCAAATTTGTTTTGGCTATCCTATAAAATCAGACATAACGCACTTACACCCCTTTGCCTCCCAGCCCTCAAATGGGATCATGTGTTTGTGAGTGTGCATAAGTAAAAGAGACAAAACAAGCCATACTGATGGAGAAAAAGCCTATTCGAGTTGAGGTTAACTGATTAGACTATCCAGTCGAGCATGGAGCTCCCTCAGGGTACCACACCCCATGTCATTCCAGGAAGGCTTCTTCCAGTGATCTGATAAACAAATGTCTCACTCTGTTATCTACCTGTGTGTCTGGCACAGTGTGTCTGTGCCTGTAGAGGATTCTGTTTTATTTTTAACAAAGTAGGAACTCTTTACAGGGTGTTATAAGCCTTTTTACAGGATGAAGATGAGGAGGATGATCAGAGGAGGATGAAACACAGTCTTTGATGTTTTACTACATGTATGATGAGCCAGAGGGCTTGATTATAAAATAAAGTATTTTTTCTCAAGCATGCACACACAAACTGAGCAGGGTGATTTATGAGCTCTTACAAAGAAAGCATCCATCAATATAAACAAAAGTGGTTGCTAAAATACTCTGTGTGCTGTCTTATCATTGTTGTCAGTTGGACACTGTTTATGGAGCCGCTGTATGCATTTGTGTTTTAAAAAGGTGTATCAGCTCTATTCTGCTGAAAAATGTGGCAAACTGAGTTCGGGGTGTGTTGCGCTTCTCTGGACTCTGTATGAAAGCAAATGAGTTCTGGCAGCACTTTGATGCACTGTATATAAAACAGTGTATCAAAGTGCTGCCAGTGAGTAAGTAGGGGAGCTTGGGGTCAGCTGTATATTTTAATATGAAGTGGATATTTGTATCAATAATTGTAGTTGCAACAATTAACCTTAATGCTGTGTTTGGGCTCCTGGAGAACCCGGGCCCTCTTTAACAGCTAAAAAACATACTCAACATTGTGTTAACACTCGGATCCTTCATCACTTTTCCCACTTGTATGAAAATAGTGTATAAACCTCATTTTGAAGTGGTGACTTGCTTCAGAAGTCCACTACAGAAACCCCCAAGGGTCAGCTGTGCTTAATACAGTAAGTGGTGTTTCAATCCCAAATAAGTCTATTAAGATTTCTGTTTACGAGTTAAACCTCTCTGGGTTCTAATGGACCCTAAACATAATTTCTTTTCAACAATCAAAAATAATTTGTTAATAATTAGCCCATATAACATGAAATATTTCATTATGTGGTGTTTTAATAGTGATTTATGGTCATTTCTGTTCATCAAAAGCTGATGTAAAGGGAAGTGTTCTATTGCACCCACAGCAGTAACAGTATTTAAGTTAGAATTTTCCTCAGTCACTAGATCTAACTAGTTGTTGACCAAAGTGGTCCTCTCTAACTTCATCATTTTTCATGAGGGAGGGGGGGGCATGACGTGATGTCATTAGCACACAAATATACTCGCAATCATTACACAGTCAATCATTACACAGAGAAAATGTGAATGAACAAACAGTGTCCCACCTGTCTGCGGGAGGCCGCCGTTGTGCTGCTGGAAGAGTTGGTGCTGATCATCCTCCCTCCCTGACTCGTCTCCTTCTTCCACTTCTTGGTGCTGTCTTTGGGATCTGAAGGCAGCGGGTTCAGGAAAAGTATCCGGGCGATCAGTCCGTACATAACTGTGGCCAGCATGAGAGGCAGCACGTAAAACACGGCGAAATCTGTGAAGTAAATGGGCAGGTAGTAACTCCTGGACACTTTGTAGCCGCAGCTGAGCAGCACCACGTTGTCATAAACCAACTTGGTGGTGTCTGACAGAAAGAGCCACATGACGCAGTAGACGGAGGTGAGCGCCCAGACCAGCATGATGATTTTCTTTGCCCTGGATAAAGTGCACAGGAATTGCGCTTTTATTGGGTGGCAGATGGCGATGTAGCGCTCCACGGTGAAGGCGGTGATGGAGCAGGAGGACGCGTTTATTCCCAGGTACTGGAAATAGGTGATCCCCAAACAGCCCGCGAACCCGAACACCCATTCTCCGCACAGGGCGTCGGTGATGTTGGGCAGCCCGGCGGCCGTCAGGACCATCAGGTCAGCCACGGCCAGACTCACCAAGTAACAGTTAGTGGGGGTCCGCATGTGTTTGGTGGTCAGGACCACTAGTATGACCATCACGTTCCCCACGATCCCCACTCCGCATATGAGGGACACCAAAAACACGCTGACCACTTTATATTCAACTGTATAGTCAGTCCAAAGACCCAGGGTCTGATTGTCCTGCACCGACGTGCCATTCTCCACAGTGATGTTATCCATGGTGAGGTTTTCCATAGCAGGGGGAGGCTGTAGCTCTGTGCGCTTTTCTGAAAATTACACCAGGCATGCAAGAGAAATCACTGAAATATCATTGCAATAAACTGCAGGGCCCTGGCACCGAAAGTCCAGCGAGCATAAATCCTCCAAAAACTTCATTTCATCCACATATATTCCAGTCAAACTGCCCTTTCTTCTCCACGAAATCCAATTTCTGCTATTACAAAGCCATCAAATGAAACTCCAATATGTTTTCCACAAGCATAATAATAAAAAAAAGTCTATTGAGCCTGGTTGAAGTTTGAAGAGTGAGGAGATAGGAGGTGTTGCAGGCAGCTCAGCGCCCTGCTCCTGTCTCAATGCTCACACAGTCATTACTGAGAGCTTCCTGCAGAGCCTCTCTGCTCCTGAGAGCCACACACGCTGCTCAACGTGAAGTCACAGGCTCACACTGAAACCACAAACTTTTCTCTTCTTATGTCAGGGACTGTCATGCAGATATGCATGTATACTTACCATCCATGTGGTGTATAATATTTTCTTTGAGGGCAGGCAAATTGGGTTTTGTAACGTTAAGTGTTTATTAGTGCATTTATCAACAATTATAGCTGATTTATAAACGACATGAATGAATGAGTTGTATTATATGTAATGGTATATTATTACATACATGAACTAATCTTATAATAAAGCATTTCATAACTGTACAAATCATTGACAGGTAGGTTAAAAATGTTCCATTTGTAAACACAAATAAATAAATAATTATTTATTTCAAATCTTTCAAAAATTCATTATGACAACTATGTGTTGCTATTAAGCATTCGTTAACCAGTTATACACCAGTTATTGATGCTTCATAAGATGAGTAACAGTTTCAAAACACTTGAAAATGTCCTTATATCTGTTCACGACTACATTATAGAGTTATTTAGTAATTCATTGGTATGCTAACTATGAATGTTTAATACAATGTTTATTATCACAGTATAAATTCTCCGCTTGTTCCAACTCTTCATTGAAGCAGCTGATGATGTTATGCCTGCACAGTTCCACCAATGGCAGATATTAGATGTCACCATCATTTTATACACATTTTGCCAAAAGTAAGCTGGACATTTTTGGTATCTGTGGAAAGTAGAATTCAAAATAAAGTTGTGGAGATTTGAATCTCTGGCTGCACAGCATGAGTTTGCTCCAAGTGACCCACAAGATAATCTCCTAATAAACTCACAGTGCCATATTTACACTAAAGATATGATATGTATGATTTACTGTGAAATAAAAGACAGAGATTAAATATATATGTATGTATATATATATATATATACATTTAGCTTTTAATACAGAGTCACTGTAAACCCCAGTGGTGGAATGTAACTAAGTACATTTACAAATACTTAGTTTAGTTTTTCCCTGTTACGCTAATTTATATTTAAACTCCATTTAAACTACATTTCATGGAAATGTTGTACTTTTTTATTCAGTGCATATATTTGGCAGCTAACATTACTGCTTACCTAGATTTTACGCACAACATATATGATTTATATATACAATATTATGCATTGTTACAAATTAAACTACCCAAAATTATCTGAATACAATCACACGTATGGCACATTGAAATGGAATATAATATTCATAGCTATGTTTTAATTTGTGTATTATCGCCTGAATATAGGAACTGTTCTATTTTGTTACCTTAGGATGAGCTGTTTTTATCTACTATCTTCCATGGAGTCTGCCACATTGAACCACCATGGTCCTACAGTAGCCTAGAAGGGGAAAACCAAACCCTGGCTCTAGACAGGGCCCTTTGTTCAAGTACAGTACCACAGGAAGTTGCAAGAAATTAAAAAAAAAAACCCATAAAAGCACAATAAGATCATTCCAAACCTCTTATTGAGTCCTACAGACACACTGTGACCTTATTATAGGACTATTAAAGTGATGGAAGGAGAAACAAATGTCAAAGAAGGATAAGGTCACTTCAATATCACTCTTTATAGTGCAATATTGTGATGATGTGTCCTTTCATGTGGTGGCTTCAAAATGCTCACAGCATGACTTGGAATCATGGAAGACATGACAACAGCCTATCTGCGCTGCTTTTGTTTGACTTTGTCTGCACGTTGGACCTGCAGTGTAGTACAGTAGTACAGACTGTCATATTTAAATGGGCTGACTTGCATGTGAACCAAGAGTTCAATGTACCATGGAAATTGGGTGTCTATCTACTTATTTTATCGTGTTAGTTTACCTGTCTCATTGCCCCAGTGTTTCTCTCTCTCTCTCTCTCTCTTGCTCTCTCTGTGTTGTCTACCTGCATCCAGATGACTTCTCACGCCTCATCGCCACAGAAAGGAAATGAAGGTTCACACTGTTCAGTTAGATTACAGCATCGCTATGTAGAAACCAAGGGGTGAGTTCTCAGGAGCTATCATAACACCCATGGGTGGTGTTGCAGCAATTGTCCTCCCTAGGGGCAAACACCTGTAACATTACATAGAGGAGTTGTGAGGGAAACGTGGGTCTGACGGAGCTGCTCTACAGTGGGAGAGGGAGAGAAAGTCCTCTACTGTCTGCACTCATCTCCATATCCACTGTGGAACGGCCAACTGAGACAATGCGTGCTCATGATTTAACTGATCGTGATTAGCATCCCCCACCTCTGGTGTTTTAGGTCCCATAGCCTGAAAGATAAACAAACTGACTGAGGTTTCAGGCAGTCGCTCAACACCAGTCCAGATTAGTGTGATTGTTATTCCCGGGGAAGCTGCATGGGCTCGAGTGAAATGGGGGAAAGCATTGGATGAAAATTACTCAGATCTCAGCACAGTAGGCGATGCAGCTGTTTATATTACTGTGTATATAACCTTCCCAGGAGGCTGGTTTAGCAATGAGAGCTCAGCAGCCTGCAGGAAAACTGCCTGGTTTGTGTTTTTTGAAAGTCAGCAGTGGATTATCACGGTTTTAAGTGCTCCCGGGTCTAATTTTCTTTAGTCAACCCGCCTGATGCTTCCAAAGATTTCATGTCAGTGTGTACATAAGTTATCACGTGGTATTAATTCATTGTCACCTCTGTATTGATCCCCTCTGTGTCTCTTACGCCATCAGAGGAGGGCTAGATGAAGTGTTGGGTTCAGGTGGGACACCATGACAGATCATCACTCCTCACTGCTGGGGGGTCAAGAGGTAAAATCACACAATTCACAGGTGGGTGAAAAATTGTGTGATTGATGCCTGTAGAATGTATCCAGCAGGTGTGTCAGGAACAGCAGCATTGCCACGTAATTTTAAGTGAATATTGATTCTATTAATGAGAATGGTTATGCTTGCTATAATTCATTACTGATGCAATGATATTTCATGGAGACTTACAGAAGGTGCATGTGGTTGTTACAGGTTAGGCGCCTGAATCTATGCACCAAGTATACTGACTGTTGGCTTCATTGTTCTTAGTACTGTATATACTTTATGACCATAACTGCAAAACCATAAAAAGCTATAATCAGTATTTTTTATAATAACATATCAAATGACAACATGACATCACTTGTAGTGACAAACATCACTTGTAGTGACAAACCTACAGAGGATTACCCAAATCTGCAGCTCCCATGGTCTTTTTAAATCACAGTGAGTTTCAGCTCATTGTTTAGCTGTCCAGCCCCCAACTTTACTGTTTTGGTTCACTCTCACCGCTGTTATAGTGCAGTTTTTGACCACAGCAGGCAGCTGTTTTCTGTGAAAAAGCTCTAAAAACCCACTGTACACTAACTGCTCATCCCAAAACAGCAGACAGACACAGTTAGCCACTAGCTGGTGAACATAGTGGAGCATTTAGCAGTGAAAGAGGTAGATATTGCCCTAAGCAGTTGGTGGAGACCAAAAACAGAGCTAAAAGAAAATGATTATTGGATTAACATTCACAAGGTGGACAAAAGCACAATTCCAAATGAATGACAATGTTGGTCAGTAACTGTTGAATGAGTAAATAAGCAACTGTTTGCTGACAGGTTTGACATATCAACTTAAAAGGTTATATGTTGTGTGTTAAGTTATTACAGATTTAAGTAAAGGTCACTACATATCATTGTACTTCATGTCAGAATGGTTGCTGTGGAAAAGGTCTATTACACGTAAAAAAAAATGTTTGGGAACCTTTGGGGTAAAAAACAATGATTAACTTTTTTGAGGAGATTATTTATACCACTCTCATGTACACTATGAAGCTACAACCAGCAGCCAGTTAGCTTAGCTTAGTACAAAGAGTGGAAATATAAAGAATAAGCTTGCCTGGTTCTGAAGCCCGAAGATAACAAAATCTGCCTACAGCGCCTCTAAAGCTCACTAATTAACAACAACTCCCAGCCAAGAAATAGTCCACATAACCCCCTGTGAAAAGATAAATTGTCATTTGCAGAACAAAACATGTAACATTTTCTTAAGGTAAAAGTACAGAAAATGAACTGAAAGTATCAAAAGTAAAAGTCATTATCTAGTGGAATGGCAACATGAGTGCTATCATAACATGTACTATTTGATTATTATATTATATTATTATATTATAAGCAGTATTTTACTGTTATAGCTGGCTGTGGTGGAGTTCATTCTGACTCCTTTATTTACAGATGGGTAGTTTAATTATTGATAATGCAGTGTAATTGATAAACTGAGTGAATCTGCAGGCTAACAGCTGTCAAATAAATGTGAAAAGAACTGGAGTAAAAGTATACGGTGTAGCATGAAATGGAAAATAGTCCCTAGCGCCTCAAAATTGTACTGAAGTACAGTGCTTGATACTTTCCATCACTGACCAGCGCATAATTCTCTCCCCTGCTCCTGGGTGTGAGCGCTCCCCTCTCCTGCAACACTGACAGTGGGTCTTCACTGCCACCTCATGGTCAAACACTGCTACTGACACAGTGAACCGGAGAGGGGAGCCAAGTTACAGAAAATATTTGGACCATGGCACATTTCATAGAAATGCAATTTATCTGTATGATCTCATGGTCTACTGTTGGACTGTGTGTCTGCATTTTAAATGCTGAGACACTAATGTGAACACTAATGGCTACTCAGTTGGCTGCCACATAGCTTTATTTGAGCCTTTGTACAAAAAATACCTTTAGACCATTTATGCTGGTATACTGGAGTAAAGTCAAGCAAATGCTTTGCAAAACTTACTTAGATTTAATACCTATTTAGTTTTTTGTGCTGTTAAACTCTTTAACATTTTACTCCAGGCTTGTAGTGAAGGTTCTCCTCTTCTCCCTCCCTCAAAATTAATTTATATTTATAAAATGCATTCTTTCAGACTTCTCTTGGGCTGATATTTCACCTCCAGGGATTTTCCCCTTTTGCAGAACGATCATTGGAGGACATGATGGAGAGCCAGCCGTCTAAAGCTGTAAAGAGAATACTCGCTGTTTATTTCGACCAGAGAAAATGAAGAAATGTTAGAATATTATTACCATTTACAAATTCTCCACAGTGACTTCTGTGTTAATATAATGCATTATTCATCCACTGCAGCTTAAGAAAGAGGTCCTTTTGTTCCCACTTGAAAATTCAAGGTAAACATCACAACAGAAATTCAGAAGCAAAATTGTATCAGGCAGCAGTGCCAGCAGACTACTCAATACTTGGCTCGCTATATTCACCAAAAATAAATAACGTCTTTGGCCTGAACTAAAGACTTTCTCATTTACCTAATGAATGAAACTCATTCAATCTTGTCTAAAATGTTTCCCTAGCCCATACTAAACAGCAGCCCTGACTTTGTTTACCATTGAGCCCACACAAGGATACCAAGAGCTAAATGAAACTTGACTGTGCATTTGCCAAAACAAATGGGATCCGTCGGCTAAAACAAAATGTTTGTTGTCTTATAATTAGGGCACCATTATAACTGGGCAAACCACAGTAGCTGTAAGAGATAATCAGTGCTCCAGATGGAGACAGAGAGGCAGAAGACAGGAAAAGACAATCATCATCAAGAGCTATTGAGAGCTTTATAATGCAAAAGCAGCTGTGGCGTGAGGGGATAACATCACATTAATTATGATAAAGAGATGATAAAGAAAGGAAGGGTCGATGAAATGGTGGAATTAATTATCCGAGTTGGCTTGCTTAATCACCAAAAGGCTTTTTTTTCCTTTTTGTGAAGTCTTATCTTTGCGTGAGGCATAAATCTTTGCCTACACACACACACACACACACACACACACACACACACACACACACACACACACACACACACACACACGAGGCACTAGGAAAGCCATTATTATCCTTCCATTATCCCACAGTGTCTGTGTTGAGGCCAGCCACATCACTTCAATTAGGAAAGTCACTGTAAATTAACTTGAAGGTCCAAGTGCTAAATATTTCATAACAGTGTCTGCCACCACCACCACCACACACACCCACTAAAAAAAACAACCCTCCACACTGAACCTCAGTCTGCCTTTCACTTAATTCCCTTGTCATCCTGCTGTCTGTGTGCACTCTCCTCTGTGGAAGGCTTTTTAAGAGCTACTAGAGGGTTTGCGTGCCAGACATCCCAAACAAACCCAGGGGACTGTGTACACCTGCTTATTAATAATCTACAGTACCCTGCTGTCGTGGCCCACTACCCTGTCAGAGACCTCAGGGTGCTCCCTGCCTACTGCTGGTGAAGAAACATACTGTACCACTGGTTTAATCTGACCTACAACACCTAAATCTTCTTCAATGTGTAATAAAACTGCTAAATTAACTATAAATTATGAATTAATTTTTTTATCTTGCAGCATAAAGTGGTCAAGACTACTGTGTAAATCAGTTGCTACAAAATATCTGTACCTCCATCCAATCAAAAGCAATCCACTATGTTAAGATGTTAATGTAGCATCACAAGCTGCTAAGAATACGTTAGAGGGCTGATATATTAAAATGAACTGTCAATGCTTTGTAATTTGTTTGCACACATGGAAAATGTGTGTTTCAGAGCAGACAGTATACATTCAGTTTAGAAGGGATGTAAAATATATCATAGTGCTAACTGGCAGTAACCGATTTAATCCTTTTTTAAATTAATTGCTTATTCTTTTGTTCTTATGAAATTAAATTTTCAGGCAGTTTTATATTATTAAACTCCAATTTGAATATATTGGAACTTTAAGAAAACTTTGTGTTACTCTGACTTGGAATGTTTTACTCCTGGTTACCACTGCTTACCTTGTAATGACATAAATTAAATAGTGTAAATTATCTACTGCTAGTTTTGAGCATTGGGTGGTTATGTGAAAATGGATACAAACTCTGTTTAGTGCATGTGAAATTAGCCAAATCAACAGTAATATTTTATTATAATACTTTTTATTATTAGATTGTATTTAACTGTAACTGCCAGTGATAGAGGTTTTGCAGTCATTTTGCCAATGCTTTGATGTCTATACTTAAGAACGTTGCGTTGTGCTAACCATTTTAATGTAGTGTTTGAACTTAAGCGCTGGTGCAATGGGCCTCTGAGCTTTTTCCAAGCAGCAGCCTGTTTCACATTCATGTAGTTCTACTCATTCATATTCACCAATTTTACTACACAGACTGCTGCTTGGGGACGCTGACCAGCTCCAGCAGCTCCAGGAGCAGCTGGAGGTCAAGTGAACTCAGTCACTCCCTTCATAATTCACATATGCGCTGCCTCGCTCTTCTTCTCCCTCCTACTACTATATTTACAGGGACCTCTACTCCCTCCCCCCCCCCACACACACACACACACACACACACCGCCATCACCATCTGATAGCTAAAGAAAAAGCAGTGCAACATCCATGTCTTATAATTTTTATTCTGTGTGTGGGTTCATGCCGGTGGCAGGAGACACACTACGAGAATTTATAGCCTTTAGAAGCACTAACTCCCCAGCCGCCCCTCCTCTTCCAAGCCTGGTGTCCTTGCCAGCAGGAAAAGTGGTGCACTGTTGCAGACAGATAGCATCTGATAGTTGGCTGTTGTTACCCCTCAGAGAAGCACACAGTCAGATTTCAGCTTCCTCTCTCTATCTCCCTGCACGAGGCCGACTAAAGTTGTCTACAATCTGACCAAACACACCATAAAGCATTATGATTCCCCCCTCTGCAAACTCATTTCTGGAACAAAATGGTGGAGTAAATCTTTGTCTGTCTCTGCCTCCTCTCTGTCTTTCTCTCTCTCTCCCTGACTCTCCCTTTCTCTTTACTCATCTGTTAAATGGAGTCTTGTTGGGAAATGAGCCAAAGCCGTTCACCCAGCCACTAGGACTCCAGGAAAAGTGGCGACTATATTTATAACCGCTGCCTGGTTGTGCTAAATAAGGTGGAACAGTCAGCAAATGAATATTCAGTTCAACGTGGGATTAAGCACTTAAATCATTGATGGTGGCCTGCACTTAGTTTACAAAGTGTCACTTTCCAAGAAAACTTAATGTGCTGTGTTAACTGTTCATCATCTGTCTTCAAAGATGCTGCCAAGATGTTGCATGATTGAGATGAACCTCCCAAAGATTTACATGGGGTCACAGATCAGATGACCTATTAGGTCTCTAGATTAAACATGGATTAGGATAGCTTTGACATAGACAGTGAGCAGTAATCTTCTGAGAGAGCACAGGAGAACAGATGGTGCATGATACACACAGTTTAACAATGCTGTTTGAGTGGCACCGCTGGATAGATTGTTCTGATATGATGAGCGCATTAACTGACGACATACAGCACAGATTACTTTATGCATGTCCATGATCTTTGATCGGGTGCTTTTACAAATATTATCATTTGGTTTGTGGTTTTATTTGCTCTGAAAGCACAAAATAGCCCTGGGGGGTGTTACGTATTGAATTTATAGTGCTAAACTTTACATTATGAGTATTTATCTCTGCTGGCATCACTATAATATCCCTGCATGATCCCTATTGGAATTTCAAATGCATCTGTGGTATTCAGTACTGACTAAAACAACAAAATTCTCCTATAGAGGGATATCTTAGTGGTATTTTTGATCTCCTATAGCCTACTAACCTGCAGCCTCCAGGAGCTTTACAGAAGTGCACTGAGATTTCTGTGGCATCAAATTGTCCTAAATTGTTTCCTATGGGAAGGGCATTGTCAGTAAAATATGATCGCCAGGTCCTAGGGTTTGCCTCAGCCCTTCATATCCCCATCCCGTCTGTGTGTTGACTGACTGCTAGTGATCTCAATCGGCTCACAGATAGCGGCGCTCCTTTCAGCGCGTACAGCTGAGGCTCTGTGTGTGGGAGGGACTAACAGAGAGCTCCCCTCAGTGCAGCCTGCCGCCACAGCATCGAGCAGGGAGAGAATAGCCTATATTCAAAGCATATTCACTGATAAGGCTTTTTATCTGTCCCCGTTGTGCGCCCTCAGCCGCCGTAGCGTCTATGAAGAGAAGAGGGCGGAAGGGATGCTGAAGTAGCGCGGTGAGTGCTTTTCTTTTTATTTGTGCAGTCTGAGGAGGTTTCTGTTAGGGATTAGACTAAAATATTAAACCGGGTTGTGCATGACTGGTCCACCCTTATGCAGAGAAGCATCTCACATCTTCTGCTGAATTCCAATAAAGTGTGCAGGACTACTCCGACTCATATGAGGGAAGCACGGGATGTATTTAGCATTAAATGCAGTATGGAAATATCGTGATGATTTTCTCGTAAGTAGACCAACTATGGTTATATTTTAGGCCTATGTGTGATTTAGTTTCAGCCTAGTTTGATTTATGTATCTATTCTACAGGCAGTGTCTAAAAACAGAATTAGGATAGGCTACAGTTTAATCTCGGTTTATACGTGGATAGTTTTCCTAATTGGATACAGAGGCATTTGGCTAATCACTGCCACTATAAGCGCCTTTCAAAACGGGTCCACGGATTTTTCCTTAAGGATCCGATCAACTTTAAAGTGGTGTTGATTTCACTATAGCCTAACTACAAAGGCATGTGCATTTTGCGCACCGTTCCAAATTACGCACAAGTTTTTGCGCATTGTTGATATAAGGTGTCGCGCTTTACAATGAGGGTGATCTAATTAAGATGCACCATTTATCTTAGAGCACGTGTGTGTGTGTGTGTGTGTGTGTGTGTGTGTGTGTGTGTGTGTGTGTGTGTGTGTGTGTGTGTGTGTGCCCTCTTATTAGGGATGCTGTGGAGTGACACCGTCGTGGGAGGAAGGCTCAGTGTGAACCCGCTGGTGGTGAAACACGAATGGCTTCTCCAGAGCTGCTTCCCACTGAAGGGGGAGGCAAACAGCCCGAACATCCCGACGTCCTTGACCGGGTTTCCAGCGCGCTGCATATCCGCAAGTCGGGCGGATCAACAGGAGGAGCGCTCCCGGGGGAGGGCTGCTGTAACCCGGCCCGCAGCTGCCATGACCGATGTCATTCAGCACCAAGGACGGCGCCGCGCAGGGGAGGCGCGGAGGTTAAACTCGCTCACCTCGGCGAGGAGAAAGTCCGGGTTTGCTGCGACGAGGAATTAGAGACATCTTTCACCTACATCGATGAGAATGTTAACCTGCGACTGGCCAGCCCGGAGACAAGTTGTAAAAGTACTCACAGACCCACGCGCAACGGCGAGCCTTGCTCCGAGACTTTCCCGGAGCTTTCCTTCATGTCCGAGGACGATCTCTCCTTCGGGGAGGGCTCCGGGACCTCTATAGACTACGGGTTTATCAGTGCAGTCACGTTCTTAGTGACCGGGATCTCCTTGGTGATCATCTCCTACGCCGTGCCTCGAGATGTGGTGGTGGACCGTGACAGCGTGTCGGCGAGGGAGATGGAGAGGCTGGAGATGGAGAGCGCCCGGATAGGTGCCCACCTGGATCGGTGCGTCATAGCGGGGCTGTGTCTGCTGACGCTGGGCGGCGTGGTGCTCTCCACCCTGCTGATGATCTCCATGTGGAAGGGGGAGATGTACAGGAGAAAGGTCATCGCTTATTCCAAGCGTTCAGCCAAACAGTATGGCTCTATCAGCCTGAAAACTAGATCCAGTCCCAGCCACTCCTCTGCACACTTGTCCCTGGAGGAGGAAATAGAGGAAACTTTGACTTAAAATGCTGCTTTGCATAATAAATCTTTTAACTGAGGAATTGATGCTGTTCACACACATTCTCTAACATGCTGTAGCCTAAAACTGTATTCATAAATTGAAGTCTGCAACATTTTTGTCTTATACTCTAGTAATAGCTTGAATACTGTATTGTATATCCACATGACAAACAGAAAGGACACGAAAAGCACTCAAATGCTAAGTGAGCAATAGCCAGAAAAATCTTTTGGTGGTATTAAATTGTTCCCAAATGATTTAAAATGGCACCAAACCATAAAAGAAACTGGCGAGAATGTTAAGAGCTTTGTGTCACAAACACTGGATCACATTTTTTCGTACCCAAGCTGCAATCTCTGAGAGCTTTCATTTATTATTAAGGCTATTCATATTTAATGCGAATGTCTCCAACAGCGAAACTGTGCACAGACACATTTCAGGAAGTAAGGGAAGTGTATGCCCCAGGGGCAGGAGAGTGGGAGTAGGGAGGGATGTAAAGCTGTCCCTGTCCACTGTGATGTGGGAGAATCAGCTCAGTGGTCCACATGGTAATATCCAGTGACAGTCCCTCTCTGGTGCAGTGCTGAGGTAAGCCAGTAAGCCTGGCTTCATGCATCTGAGCCAAAGCTCCACGTCGGTTTGATTGTAGTGAGCAATTTGACTGCAGTCGACAGCACTGACACCGTACACCCTCCTCTACTCTCGCTTGATCCTCTCTGGTCCTCTTCTCCTCCTTCCTCCCTCACCTTCTAGTTCCCTCTGCCACAGGAGACTTTCTTTTCTCCTGCAGTTTTTGCAGCGCTCTTTTCAACACTGTAAATTCACACTAGAAGCGTGTGGTAAAGGGTCCTGGACGACCACAGCCAAGTGCCTGTGACATTTCAAGGTTGATGAGCCTTTCCTTACCTGTCTCCTTTCATTTTCTCTTTCTCTCTACGTGAGGATGGACTTAAAAACACCTAATCACACATGAAAGAGTTGCCCTACTTCCAAAACCTTAAGCCTTCACTACTTCAAAGAGCTAATTACATTTCCAAAGTGAGATATCATTCTTTTTAAAAGGTTATATTTGATGTAATCACAGTAATTCGCTGACTAAAATATGGCAGATGACACAAAAGGCTTAGGGAAAGAGGTTTATCGTGTGCAGACTTGCTAAAAATGTTAATGCCCCAGTGTCCAGGCAAGTCAGAGACGAACTTTCTTTTTTGGAAGATTTTAGTTTCTGCCTTAGCTAGAGTCCATGTGAAAGCAACCATCTCTTTCTCATTGACAGTTGTTAATGCTGTATGAAGAGGCCTGCAGAAAAGAATAAAGAATTCCATGCAATTCTCTTGAAACAGTCATTTTTCAAGTAGGTATGTAACTACTCATAAATCATGCATGAAGCACTAAAATTCATTCACATTTGCATATATTCATATACACAGCCAAATGTTAAATTCTGCAATTGCTTGTGATTCTTATGCAGTGACATGGCTACCTTTGTTTCTTGTCCTTTTTTCTGGACCGTGTGACCCTATTTCAAGGCTTACATTCAAATCGACATGAGTCAGCCTCTATTAATGAAATGCGTAGGCTGATTACTCTATGATAAACAGCTCGAGGCCACACCGTTGCTGAGCTTTCATTCAGTTGCATACTGTCACATCATATACATGTATTCTAAGTGCCAGTCAGTGCACAGGCAGATGAAGTAGTGTGTTTCAAGTGAAAAGACCTGACAGGAGTGTGTGCATCCCCGAAAAACAGCCATTACTTCTTGAAATGGTAATAAAATGCCAAATGAAGAGATTTCCAGGAAAGGTAGTAAAAATTAATGATCCATATGAGGCAATGTTGTCCTGTTCTCTTCACAGAAGCTGTAAATCCATGACCAGTATTACAGATGTTGAAAGGATATTTCATTTAGCGAGCTTTCCTGGTGTGTTTGGCCACGGAAAGAAGGTGCAACGCCCAAGTCCTGGACACTCATTTCTTACCACTTCCTGTTTAATTTCCTCGCACCAATATATTCATGTAAAATTAAACTTGTTCAACACTTAAAGGGCAGCCAACAACAATGCTACTAATGCCAAAAATTATGTATGATAATATTGAGCAATTAATTCAAACCCCAGCAATGTAATAGCTACATTACACATGCAGTATGCATCAGTGCTTTCCATCCAATGACAGAGTCATATTCAGAGGAGGCATCATCTGTGAGAATTTCACTCTTGTAACACACAGAGGATCATAAAAGCCTAAGAGAAGCCATTATCATTGCAGACTTCAAACAGGCTCATCTGCAGCATGTGATGCACTACACCGGTTTTTAGACTTAAGTCCCTTTCATACAGGCATTGCAACCCTGAACTTATCTAGACATTACCCAGTGAATCTGTATGTGAGAACGTAAATGTTCGAATCAGCTGGACTGAATATTAAACAGACTACCCTGCATGCTCCCTTGTACAAAGTCCATGTAATGTCCAATTGAGCCCATGTGTGAATAAAGCAGGTCATTGACTGGAGAATTTGAGCGAGGGGATAACATTTCTATCATGTGACTGATGCTAAACCGGAAGAATCAGTAGCCCGCAATTTCTGCACCGTACTTTTGGCATCATGTCTTGCCTCCTATACGCTCTACCCAGGCACCACCTCTCAAGCAAACCAAAGTATTTCCAGACAATGTCCGGCGTTCATATGAGAAAAGGGCTGTATTCTGTTTCTCCCCTCTCTCTCCCCTTCCTTCATTATCCCCCACCCTCTTCTTTCTGTCCTCCTCCATGGTTGGCACTGTGCCTCACAGTCAACACCAGGCTTCCCCTCATACAGCCAACTAAACGTGTTTGGGGGGTTTAATCAGGGATTTGCTTGAAGCGACAGCATTTTACACGCCAAGCTCAAGTGTATTTCCAGAGGTTTCATACATAAGCTCTTTATCCTTGAGCATTGCACAGCTAAATCACCCATATTGATATTTGGTTGGCTCCTCTGTAAGTCGATCCCTTCAGGTGAGGCCAAGGAGCAGCTGAGCTGCTGCCATCAGCTATTTTCCTAAAGGTGTTATTACACTCCTCCATCCTGTCAATGCTAATATTCCGTGTGTGTGTGTGTATGTGTGTAGGTGTGTGTGTGTATGTGTGTATGTGTGTATGTGTGCATGAGTAGTGCATAGGTGTTGTGTGTCACCTTGGATTAAAGACTTGCTGACCTTCAGATTTCTTTTCAAATATTTTCTGTTGAGACATTTTGGAAGCTTTGCCACACCAGGAGAAATACAAATCTCTAATCTAAGAATGCTAGCCTGCCTATGTTCGAAAGAAACAAAATTATAAAAAAATTGGTAGCCCCTGGTTCTAAAAGTAAAAGTCCCATTCATTTTCCCTGTAGAGGGTGTTAGATGATTCATAGTTTGAGAACCTCTATGGCTTGGATTGGCCTGAAACTCTTCCAGTAATGTCATCAGTCCAACAAATTGAAGAGCTGTGTTAGAAAATATCTGGTACAAGTCTATTTACATAAAAACTTTGAAGTAGACATTAACTACAATCCTAAGGTTCATTTCGGCAAGAAACATCCATTCACTGAACTTAGAATTCTAGAAGATTACAGTATTGAGAAAAGTGATAATACAATCTGCATCTTAAATCAATTTTAAATTATGGGTCACTTTTGGGTTTATTCAGCAACTATGGCTTATGGACTGCATTCAGCAACATGGGTATTATAGTATTTATAGCTGTTCTCCATGCCAAAATGATAAACAAAAACATGAATTCTCAGAAATGAATCATTAAATCATTTAAACTGGTGGTCATAACATAAACCTACAATCATTACATCATCAAGGAGAGGCCTGTGTTTCTAGGTTAAGTGAGGAAAAAAAACATTGAAATGGGAACACAGAATGGGGAAAACACTTTGCAGCTCTATCAACACAAAAGGTCCAATGTGAAACATTTAGGAGGATCTATTGGCAGAAATGGAATATAATATTTATGTTTTCATTATTGTATAATCACGTGTGATCGTTACCTACAGATGCTGCAGCTCGTCTTACCTGGAGTCCGCTATGTTGTTCTGCCATCTTTCTACAGGAACAAACCCAACACTGGCTGTAAAGGGCCTGTTCTCATTTCCAGGTTGTTAAATACATAAACCAGCAGTGTTCAGTTAGTTGCAATCTGCAACTTCACCACTAGATGTCACCAAATCCTACAGAGTGTTTTATCTGTACAAAAAGTGTAAAAACACCAAGTTGTGGTTTGAGGAGAGTCTATGTTTAGGACCACTTTTTGGCTGGGCGCAGAGACTTCCTGTACTCTCCGCTAGTTGCCTGGAAACCTCACCATGATGACAAGACTCCCAGAAGTCAATGCCCGTGGCAAAGACACATAACCCCCCAAAAAACCACACCTGAGACATTTAGGCATCAATCTTCTCGTCTAACTCTTAGCAATAGCTCCCAAAATGTTGAACTATTCCTTTAATAGTGTGCAATGTTCGTGCAGCTATGTGGTGTGTGTACACTTAGGCCTTAATTTAAAAGTAGAAAGAGATGCCTCTCTTTGGTCATATATTAGGTACAGTCATATATCTGCGGTGAGCTTACCCTCCATCTATCAGTGGATAGTGTGGGCCAAAAAAAAAATTATTTCCACTTCGATTGATTCCTGTGGAGGGAAAGACTAAAGCCAAACTCCTCAGGGATTTGACTTCAGTCTTGTTTGCTCCCTCCACTGCCTTACTCAGACAGGATATTTTTAGTCAACGTGCATATTGGATTTTTGGAAAGCTCATTGTATTGTAAATGTAGTCCACAAAGCTCATTGCTAAGGATGCACTTAGCGAGGCTGTTTTACATTTAGCCTGCACGAACATCCTTGTTCAGCTCTATCCAAGCCCTTTCCCCGGTTTCATTTTTACATGACATTAAAGCTCAAGAAGAATAAGTTTATTCTGCCTCTATGTGTTTTCTTCAACTCAGTTTATTATTAGATGCCCCCAGCCACCTCATCAGTACCGTCTAGCCCTTTCCTTTCTCTTGTGTCATACTATTTTGAAATCCTCAAGGGTTCAGCAGTTTTGTGTAGTGAGATTGAACAAAACCCTATTCTTACAAGAAAGGACCACAACTACTGCTCCGTGTCAAATCGATTTACGTCTTTGGTCAGTCGAGTTTTGCATGGCTGACAATGAAACAGTCCTCAGAATTGCTTTGTCACTCGCTCGCTGGTCAACCTCACCAATCCTGGCAATCAGGCCCGCCATAACCAGACAGTGGAACGTCTGCAGAGCCATTTCCTGTGTTGTACTTGGCACCTTAAAATCACTTTCTGAGACGGATAAACTATTAGCGCTTTGGCTGCTATGGTAGATGAGAGAGGAAATGAGGTGATCGGTTGGATCAATCTTACAGTAAAACCACTCAACCACTGCAGGAAGGCAATGCAGGTTACATCTCTCTCTCTGGGTCTCTCTCAGCCTCTCTGATCATCCACTACAGTGAATTTCAAAATGGGCTGTTTTACATGGCAGAGGCCGTGCCCCTGCCAGTGATGTGGTTACACAGTGGCTGCTTTAACAATAACATTACCATCATGTTTTCAGTGAGCTGAATGCCCCCTCAGCTTAGCAGATTCGAGTAATGTAGACATATTGCACAAACAAATCACAAGCTTGGTTCACCTCTTGATCACCTCACTGTTCAGTCCCTTCTGTTGTAAATCACACAGTCTTGCTGGGCTCCATTGATTTAATTTGTATCAAATTGCTAATGCAGTTATTCGTCATGCATGGCCTCCCGTGTATGCTTGTTTCCCCCATTATGCCTATGCATTTACCTCTAATTACAGTAAATAATGACTGCTTGCTAGTTTGCTGCGGTAAATACTGTAAGTGGGATAGAGTGTGGCCTTTGTAAAGGCATCATTGAGCCAAGAAAACAGCTTGTTTATCTACCCCTAAAACGTCTGAACAACAGAATACAATGGAAATGCATGCTGAGCAATCTGACACATTTATACCTAAAGTGATTAATAGAGATTAATAGTTTTCACTATGGGACTCACTTAGAAAATGGTCATGCATCCAGTAACTGCAGACAATTCACTACAAATTCAAACCAACCTCATGGTGGCGATAGAGTAAAAGGCGGATAATCACTAAACTCATCAGGCTTCACCTTCTGGGCATCATAAATGGCTGTACAAACTTTCAGGTCAATTGTAGAGATATTTCAGTCTGGATCAAAGTGATGAGGAGGCTGACCAATCGACATTGCTACTAGCTTGACTAAAAACAGCACCAAAAAAAAGACCTTCTAAGTTCCAATTAATCATATTTGCCATGTGGTACTGACCTTTACAAGACCATGATGCCATAGGAATGAGGATAAAACCAATGCCACTATCATTGTCATTAAATTTATATTTTGACCTGTTCTTTGTCATTCCACTTTGCCCTTTAGTTGTGCTTAGACAAAATAGTTTGATGGCTCCGTCCACTGGGGTTTAACTCAACAAATGAGATTATTTCCAGCCCAAAAACGTCATGTGCAATCTGCTTATGTGCATGTTAGCATGTGTCTGTTTCCAGTTTCCAGTGTCTCCAGTGTGCGAGAGGAGAAAACAGCTCTAAAGTCTAGACTATCCGCTCTGTACAGACTAAGAGCTGGGCAGCAGATAGAGGATAGGCTCTGGACGCAGTCAGCAGTGGTGTTGGGTCTGAGGCCGAGACCAAGAGCAGCCGCTGCAGAGCTGATTGTCTGCACTGCATTTCATTTGCCTCCAGTGTTGTGTTACCAGCCAACATTGGACTGCTGAGAGATTATACTGGCTGGTGGAGAGAGCCAGCAGGATGTGGAGAGGGAGGATGCTGACAGGGTGAACACACCCGAGAACTCACACAGACACTCTCACACATACGCAGACTAATACACATGCACATATTGCATGCCTGTGTACACTCTGACATGTTACCTTTCAGCAGAGTCCAGTCCAGTGGTATGCTTTACTCAAGATAAGATTCATTTCATCGATTGCTGTGGGTAAACTGGGCAAAGGGACAGGCTCCAAAAAAAGAAACAAACCTACATTACAAAATTGAATATCAGTGATAGAGGACATATTCAGATCCTTCACTTAATTAAAGCAGCAATGTAATAATGTAAAAATATGTCCAATAAGTAAAAGTCATTCACTTACGTGAGAGTATAGAAGCATCATTAAAGTTTTTTTTTTACATTTAACATATTAAAATAACTTAAAAATGAGGAGGGGTTAATAAAATAATAAACTGTTTAAAAAGAAAATACAACAAAATGAAAAGAATTTCAAAAATGGCAAAAACATACAGACAGCTGGCGAATTAAAGGAGAAACCTGGATGAATAAGAAAAATGTAAATGTTTTTATACAGGACACAAGGGGTCATTGAATGGTTTGATGAGAATGAAAATGATGTGAATCATTTGAACATGTATGAGAGAATGGAGAGGGTTCCAGACACTAAGATGTCAGTGTGTTTTTTTCTTTAAAATTTCCATTAAAATTGTCACCCATCTGTCGTAATTACAGTAAAGACAGCAATTATCAGTATTATAATAGAGAACTATTTTCTCACTGACTTTGTATTCATTTTTGTAACATGAGTACATAAGTCTGTGGATCTGTTGGATCTACAAGGGACATATCTTTGCATCATATCACCTATAAGCAGTCAAAAATAAATGTATTGACACACAAGTTAAACTAACTGCAAGAGCAGAGACTTTGGAACAGATGACCTCTTGCATTCTGTGCAAGCTGTATTTGATTTATAGACTTTGGGGTGAGACCTGTGAACAATAAAAACCTACCTGTCTGTAAGAATTAGAAGTTGGGGATGAAAGAGAATAAATCACTCAGTTCCATGTATAACAAATGATGGAGAAATAATTGCTTCTGGCCAGATCCATTGTGCTCATTGCTGTTTATGATGAGGAAAGTCAGCGGCCAGCTGTGGCAGAAAAAACGTCATCTTCATGAACGATCACTTTTATTAATTTGTACCATTACCAGTATTTGAATGCCTCATAGTCCTCAGAGCAATTTCAGTTACATATACAGAGATAATTATCACTGTACTTGGATTACAGTAACCCATATACAGTAGTTTTGTTTTCATCTACACTGCATTGTGTCATTTTAATAGCTAAAGACAACCTGAAGATGGCAG